TAACTTTTAATGGCTTTGTAGATCCTGAAGTTTATTTTCATAATGAATTTTATCTTGTGGAAAAATACACCCTCAGGGACAGATGTGTCACTTCTCATTAGCCAACTTAACATACTTAACAGAGATTCATTTTGTATCTGGGTCATTAGGTTTCTTGCACCCTAGTGTGCATCAAAATCATGCACAGTAAACAACGTCATTGAGGGAGAAGGTGACAGGTGATGGATGCCTATTGGGAAGAAAGTCCTGTCATCCTGTCCTTGATATATAGCCAAGTCTGTGCAGGTGCAGCCTTTCCAAAATGCCTCACTGTCTCAGGGAAGCCAACTACCCTGAGTGTGGATTCTGCAGTTCTCAGTCTGAGACTCAGAGGAAGTAAGAACACCTGCTCCAAAATTCCCATCCTCCAGTCTTTATTTCCTTAAATATCAATTTTTCAAGATAATCTAATTTATGTTTATACTATATTTTCTTCTTTTATATTTTATTGACACTTCTTTTGCTTCATATATGTTTTTACCATGTGAATTTCCTTTGAAAAAATTTTTTGTGGTAATGGGTTTAAACTCAGGGCTTCTATTAGCTACACAAGTGCTGAACCACTTGAGCCATATCCACAAGCCTTATTCACTGGTTATTTTGGAGATGATGGCACAGGGATCATCCTGGACAATGGTCCTCCCAATCTCAGCCTCCCAAGTATCTGGGATTAGAGGCATGAGACCCTGATGCATGGCTTGTCTCTGGAATTTTAAGATTCTTGGGGCTGGGTTTGCAGTTCTTTGGTGGAGCATTTGCCACACGTGTGAGGCTCTGGGTTCTGATCTCCACCAAATTTTCTAATTCCTTAATAAATGTTACATTCTATACAGTTTTATAAATTTTCCTTTCTTTACTATAAGTCCAACCTGTTCCAAAAAAGGGAAGAATGGAAATGGTGAGAGAAAATATTGAGGTTCATAATTCAAAGGAAAATAATTCAATACTGCACTTTTATATTGGGGTGCTTGGTTTTGTGTGTACGTGTGTGTGTGTGTGTGTGTGTGTGGTGTTGCTTGAGACATGGTCTCTTGGTGTAACCTAGTTTGGGCATGAACCTGCCATCCTCCTGCCTCATCTTCTTCAGGGATGGGATTTTAGATATGTACCACATGTTTAGCTAATTTGGACTTCTAATTTGATACTCTTACATTGTAATTTTTACACTAAATTTAATGCTTCTTTTTGTAAGACATAAGTTTTATTATGCAGACTACTGGTGTTTAAAGGATGGATTAATTACACTGATTCACATTATCCAGAATATCACTTTGTTACCATGGGATGTCATCTTTGTCATTTATTTGTTTTATTTCTGATTAAATTTCCCTCAATTCATAAAGAAATACTTTCATCAGTCACATGGGTTGAGTTTTCTCACATGACATGATGTATCTATTGAGGTAATCACATATTACTGTTCCACAATCTAATAGAGGTAATATTCATCACAAAGATGAAGTTTGTGAAGTTAAATTTCATTTGCATCTTTTGAATAATTCTCTTGATTACTTTCATGAGACTTTAAAAATTCTAGAATTATTTTTATGCTTGTTTTCAGAACTGGGAATTGAACATAAAGTGTCACACTCAGTGCCTTCTGTACTATCTGGTGCTCTAATACTTGAGCCATGCCCAAGGCTTTTTGCTTCTGTTTTCTTCTTAAGACAAAGTCTCACTACTTTTGTCCCAACTGGCCTTGATGTTGCGAACCTCCACCCATCCCAATATCAATTTTACAATTTTTTCTATAGATTGACTTCCATTTGGTTCATGGAAGAACTTGTGATTGTCCTTTCACACTATTTTTGTTATGTTTTGCTGTAAAGGAAAATAGTAAATTCATAATTAAACAAGTTGAATGTGCTCCTTGTCCTGTCCTTAGGAAGTGTTCATAGACATGTTTTTATCTGCTGTCTTTGCCATCCTGCAGCGTTGATGCCTTCCTCAGGATTTATGGAGCAATCCCCCTCTCCCCCATTCTATTTCATCACGGGGAGCATTGAACACTAATGAATTTCTACTACTGTCCTTGTTTTCATGGTAAGTTGAGTCTGTAGGATATGACCACATCTCCTATAGTTTCAGAATTGTTGGCATGAGTAATCATAACATCATGTCTTAAAACTATTTACATAAGGAAATGGTGTGGGAGGGTAAATATGGTGTAAATGGCATGTATTTATGGATGAAAACAGAAAAATGAGCCCTGCTGAAGCTATCTTAAGAATGGGGGGAGAGAGGATAAAGGAGAATGATGGAGGGGTGAATTCAACTATGATATATTTTAAGAAATTCTGTAAATGTCACAATGTACCCCCAGCACAGCAGTAATAAGATAATTTAAAAGACAAAAACTGTTTACAGATTCTCAACTGCTATCTTTGAACTGCTTTATCCTGATATTACCTGAGCCTTCCTATTGAGCAGTGGTGCCATCTTATAGAACTTTCTGCATTTATTATTCTTTATGAGGAAGTGACTTTGGAGCTCATGTAAACTCCCAGTTTTGGTCTATATTACATTATTCTATTTGACTTGCTTCAGTCAAACAGTCTTTCCTTCTGTTCCCAATTTGCATTTCCTTTTCTAATACCATCGTTAATTCTAATGTTCTTATTCACAGTTTACATTTATTTTCTGAGTGGACATCCTGCAAGCAAGGCATTTTCATAATGGACTCTTTCACTAAGTGGTTACTACAAGTAGTTGTCATTTTGAATGTATCAATACCTGGAGGGAGGCTGCCTTCTCACAATGGCCCCCTTGAATGAAGAGTTCTGGGTTCATCAACCTCTCACCTGGTTCCCAACATTCCCACATGAAATTTGGTCTGAGGAAATTTGCCTAAGCTCTGTTGCTGTTGCAGGATCAAGTGGAGACTTCCCACTCCACCTATTTCTGAATTAATTTTGCCAGTTTTGACTTTCTGTAGTTGATCATATATTTGAATTTAGTTTTTTGTTATTTGTTTTCTATTACATCTTCTGAAATTTTTGTGCCATTTTTTCAACTTTGTGTATATTATGTTATTCCAGGTCCACTTTCCTTATTCCACACACCCCGTGTTTTATGGATGTCGGTATGTATCTATCTATCTGAACATGATGTTACCCTGGTTACTTTAACTCACTACATACTGAGTGTACAACTGGGAAATTGTTGCTATATTTTTGTCTTTCTCATAGTTTTAGGTTACTTGTCTATGCATATTTCTAATCCTGATTTTCTTTTATTGAATGTTAAATGCAGTACACTTTGAACTATAAAGTTTGGAGATGGTGTTTCCTTCCACTGTAAGTTATTCGATTTTCCCTCTGATCATCATAGGATGGGGCGTGTGATTCTCCAATCACATGCTGTGCAACTTTGAAGCTGGTTATGTTCAGGGGTGAGCCTTATTATGTCATGCATGGTCTCTACTCTTGTAGAAAGAAATCGGAAGTGAATTTGCCAAATTGAGCTTAATGATGATATTATGAAAGAATTTGGATTTCTAGGGGAAGTGAGACAAGGAGATGCAAACTAAAGAAAGAATTTTAGTTAATGACAAGAAGTGAGAGAGGCCCTCCTGAGTGCACAGGACAGGAAAGAAATAAACAAAGAGATGGAAGGTGATCTTGACACCATTGTCCCTCACATGAAGAATAAGATGCATGTTCAAAATCTAAAGTACAGTCAAAAAACAACAACCATACTGAGTTTGGCAATTTAAAAAGTTATATTAAGGAACAGTGTGCTACAAACTAGTTAGAAGGATCAAATAAAATTTGGAGATATAATGCTCTGACTCTGTTGGGTATTCAAAAAATGCTTCAGATATTCCTCCGTCTTGCTATATAACTAGAATCTCTGTAGCAGAGATGGACGTCAACAAAAAAAGTTTTGCTGAAGACATATAATAAAATTTTCCATATTTAAGTTATCTTTATGCTAATAGAAATAACTTTGAAAGTATTTGAAGAGATGGGAGAAAGGATAAATTCATTAGAATTTTATTCATCAAAGAAGAACTATGCAATTGATGAAACTACTGGATTATCATAAAAATGAGTTGCAGATTGTGAATTTCACATCCAGTGTATACAAGTGAGTATTGAATTTACAAATTTGAATGCAAACCTTAATGAATAACATGTCTGTTCCATTTTAATTATATTGGTGAATGTGCTAATGATTATCTTTCCACAGCCATCACAGAATGTTCAGACTGAAGTGTGGATTTCAAATTCCTTTCATTTCATAAGATCAATAACTATCAGACTTTTTCTCACCATGGTTTGAGAGTCAAAAGGAGCCAGAAAATTCCTAGTTATGAGTGTTGTCCTGTGCATTGTGGGGCACAAAGAAGCTATCTTGGCTGCTACACCTGGCATTTCATCAGCTCTTACCTCCTTTTGTGAGCCAAATACTTTTGTTTCCAACACTGACATTTCACCAATGAAGTTTGGTTGGTAGGAGACATGCTATTTTGTATTTTGTAAATATAATGCTCCTGCTCAGGATACATTGTACACATGGATAGACTTATCGCACTGAAATTCCCCTGCATTATCAATGTATGCTAATTGAAAAATAAAATTAAAGAAAGGTAAAATACATAATGCTCCACAAAGTGGAGGATTATTGAAATACACATGTTTATTTTTAATATGCAAATGGAATACTCTGAAGAAAGCATGCAAACAAAATTAAACACTAATTTCTCATTCATATGGATCAAATATGACTTGGAAGTTTAACCTATACTCAGGTTCTCAAGAATCCATGGAATCCAGTGTCTGGAAGTGCCACATCTGAACTTGAAACATAGAAGAGAAGGACATTCCCAACCCTTCCCCACACTGGACTGTCAATCACTATTCTTCCATAACATCCACTAATATTAACTCCACAATATAACCTATTTATGCTTTGTTGGAAAACTGGCCTATTAAAATTTGCCAAATCTCACTCAAATAATGTTTGCTAGTGACCTAACTTTTGGTTTTTTCCTCTTATCTGAAATTTCCTTTGGGCTCACGGGAAATTTATTGTTTTTTGCATTACATATGTACACCATTTTGTTTCAACATCATCTGAGGAAGCCCATAGATGTTATCTTCACACACCTGGCACTGGTCAATGTTTTGACCATCATGTTCAGGTTGATACCAGATACCATGTCATCCTTTAGAGGTGGACATTTGTTCAATGATGTGGGTTGTAAGACAGTTTTGTACATCTACCGAGTTACCTGGAATCTTTCCATCTGCACTACTGCACTCCTAAGCACATTTCAAGCCATCACCATCAGCCCCAGTAACTCTAAGTGGGCATGGCTTAAATGTAAATTACCCTCCTGCATCTTCCCTTCTTTCCTTTTCTTCTGGATCATCAACATGCTGATCTACATCCAAGTCATTGAAACTGTAATAGCCAGCAGCAATTCTTCCCTTGTTGTTTCTGGATATTCTCAAGAATACTGTAAAGCTAATGGAATTAATCAGCTTTCATATGTGATTTTAAGTGCCATGATTGTTCATGATGTGCTCTTTGTGGTCCTCATGATGGAGACCAGCCTCTACATGGTGCATCTCCTCTGCAGGCACCACAGGAAAGCTCAGCATGTCCACAGTAACAGACTGTCTTCCCAGCCATCACCAGAAAACAAAGCCACCCACAGCATCCTTTTCTTGGTGAGTTGCTTTGTGTTCTTTTATTTCTCAAACAACTTCATTACCTTCTACTTGTTGTTTGGACCTGAGAAAACACTGGGATTTGAGAGAATTACTGGAATTCTTGCATCAGGCTACCCCACCATCTGTCCTTTTGTTCTAATTAAGAATATAAAAATTACTTGGACATTTTTTTCCATTTCAGACACTAAATTTGTGTTCTCTCAAAGAGGACTCAGTGGCTGATCTTACATCCCACAATTCCTTTAGCCAAAGACAAGTCTTCTTTACAATTTTTTGAGAAAATCAAGCTAAGTCACTCTGGAGACCTTGATATGTGGCTTTTTGGTATGTGTGATTTTATACACAGTACACATCCTTTCAAAACTCAGAGTTTGATGTTAATAAGAATAAAAGTACATTAATTCTAAATTAATAATTTGTATATGATTATCACTTAAATTATTATACTATGCATATTGCCTTTATAATACATATGGGTATTACAAATATTTTTATCTCTTAATTCATTCTTTTCAAAGTATGAATAGTAGAAAATGCAATACTACATTTCTGACTCATATTGCTCTCCTACTAAATGGTGTTGCTGTGGCAAAATTGATTTATCTACTTAAGAAACATATTCATGCCTTACATACTATAGGTACTATATTGGATGTTATGAAAAAATGAGTGACCAAAAGGACATAAGTAACTTGAAGGATAGTCTATACAATGGTTGTGTTGAAAGCAAAATTTAAGTAAAGTGCATATGACATATTCAATAGACACCATAAAATAAGAGTGAGCATTTATTCTTTAATAGAATGAAATGGATGGTTGGTTCTCTCACTGTGTGCATAAATCCATCCACAAGGATAACTCCACCATAATATGCTGATGTAGTTTTTGTTTAGATCAAGTCTATTAAAATTTTTCAATTAAAAGAGTCTTCTCCTATTCCAACAATTCATTATCAGAAATATATGACCCCTTCCAAGTCTGCAATAGTCATTTTCATAGAGATAGATAGATAGATAGATTGTAAAATTCATTGTTCAGCAGTATTGTCCTTGTTTTAATTTTCCCCTGTCTAGGATTCTCTGCTCTGTGTAGTGCATTACACCATTAAAATCCTCAGAGACATGAGACAAGTGACAGTCATTTTGAACCTCATATGTGTTATTTTTCACCACCACTCATGGATTCCATTTTGAGTGCCCATATGACTCTTGCAAATTGATTTTATTTATTTGATATATCACTGCTCCCCTATCTCCAAGATTTCCGTAACTCTAAGAAGTTATCCAACAACAGAGTTATATTTTTCCTATGAAGAAACTGAGGTCCTGATTAGCTTTTGAAAATTCTGCTTTCTCCTAAAACTTTCACAGGGTTTCAGGAAAATTACCTGGGTGGGACAGATGAGTTTTTATGACTGCTTCAATCATAGTTGCAATTCCAACATAGTGTTCACATTGGGAGACTGTCTTCCATTAAATATAATGTCTTCCCTCCAACAATTTCTTTTTATTTCTCTGGCTTCTCACTCCTTTTAGAATATTTCAGTGCTTCTGGATGGCTTGAACTTCCATTCTTTCCACTCTCTTCAACCTGGGAGACATTTCTTTGTTCAAGACAATTTGAAAATATTTTCTTCTTCTCTTATAGGCTTGGTTGGGTTTCACCATAGACTATGTTCTTCAAATGTATCTACTGTCTTTTTCTCAAACCTTTTGAACACAAAATGATGTAGAAAATTATTAAACTCCATGTACTTTTACAGTGAACAACCCCAGGTAACAGGCAAGTAGATCAGAAAATAGAGCATCAGCAGTTTCTCTGAAAGGCCCCATGTGCCTTCCTAATTACTCCCCCATTGAGTGTGTCTAAAAACAAGAACCATGACAACATCTGTTATGGTCATTTAGCCTATTTTTTCCTTAATGTTTATAAAGTCTGTATTGAGCTGTGACAGTTTTCACACATTATTCCCTCATTTTTCATATTCTATTTTGTGTGTGCTTCTCTGTTATGTATAAAGGCATCACCCCCATCAGAGCCATGGGAATCACATCTTCATTGTATTGCATCTGGTCTGTTCACATGGAAATAATATGTGAGTTTGGTAAAATGTAAATTTAACTCACTATCCAAAAATATGTATTATCATTTTGAAATAAACAAAACAACCCTAATGCTATGTAGAATTCATATTTTAAACATGCCAGTCAAAATTGACAGTAAAAGAAAATAGTTCTATGTGTATTACACAATCCCCAAATGTGGAAGTCATTGATGTGATGGAGGAAGATGCATGACTGGATGAAACTAAATTGTGTAATCCTGAAAATGGATTCCTTAATCTGTGAATTTGTGTAAGAGAGTGTGTGAGTGTGTGGGGGGGAGGGGAGTGTGTGTGTGTGTGTGGGAGTGTGTGTGTGTAGGGATTATGAAACACACACCAGACACTGAGCACTATTTCCACCTACTCATGTGACTCTTACCTGGGAAAAGTTCTGGAAATCCCTACATGAGCTATTCCTCTCTGATGTCACCTCCTCCTTCCATCAAGGGCAGCCTTTGTCATGAAAAGGGACCTAAACAGGATGGATGATCTTTAGGACAGTAAGGCGTAACCAAGATTGAGAAGGAAGTGGTCTGATGTCAGAGGAAGAACAAGTGCCAGGTGAGCCTGATGAGAATGTAAGGTAAAGTGTCTAGAGTTGGCTACAGGACTCTCAGTGAGAGGAAAACTTCCAGCCCACTGGAGGCAGGAGAATTCCTAATACTAACTTGATAGAGAGAAGAAATCCAGTGTTCTCTAATGTAAGGGGAGAACTGGTCATTAACGTCTATGTCCAAGACAGAGTAAGGCTTGATATTAATGCCTATGCTAAATCTGTATGGAGCATTGAAATGTCACCTGATATATTCAAATTCACTCTAGCCAGAAATTATGAGGGGGATATTAAAATGCAATGAATAAGACACTGAGATTCTGACTCTTGATAAGATGGAGAACCAGGATAACATTTACCTTCCTTCCTAACACCATGCAATCACTAAACACATGATATAAAACATCTGTTTTCAACACATTCTGCCTCAGGCTATGAAGGGTAATGAGTGTGTCCTTTAAGAAATGGAACAGAAGCAACATGAGTCCATTAAATGTCCCAGATTTCTGCCCATGGAGAGCTTCCAAGACACAGAATAATGAGGGCAACGCTTGTAAAGTGTGACAGTCTTCCTGATGGCAGATGCAATATGACCATGGGGGACAATGTCAAAGTGACCAAGGACACTGTTGTGGGACTTCATAGTGCAGAACACGCACACCCAACAAGAGACAGAGAGAGACAGAGAGAGAAACTGTACCCTGAGGATGGGGAAAGAACCACTCAAAAGGATTAGAGGGAGCCAAACCAGAACTTGTCCAAGGCAAGGAAAGTTAATTTGATTTCTGCACCCAACTCAATAAAACCCAGTCATGAGGCCTGTGATTGGCGGCTGGGAAATGAAACAAACTAGCTGTGCAGGACATGCTGCTCGAGCTCCAACTCACAAACTAAAGATAAAAACAGGCAAGGATCAAATAATTTCCCACTCAAAACAAAATTCAGGAATAATTGTAACAATTGACTATATTTTCAGAATAACGGAAAAACACATAATCAATGTGATATCTCAATAGGTGCCTGAACTGGAAGTGAAAAATTCCTGTACTCTGTCCTCTTCATGTTTCTGTGGGAAGAAGGGATGGGGCTCCTTCAAATTCCAACCAAGATGCTATCACAAGAGCCTTCCCTTAATTCTTGGAACTCAGCATAATGATAGACAGCAGGAAGTTTCTGGTTTTCTCCAATAAGTTTTGAATTTAAAAACCACTATCATTAACTAGAAAAGAATGCTAGACACAACTCTCAGTAATGTGATTATTGGTAATTTTTTCAATTGAATGAAGTATCTGTGAAGCTTGTTTACAAATATTTGTAATTTTTATAAAGACAAATTCAGAAAATGAATATTATAACTTTCTACTCTTTACCATATCTTCCCTTAGATTGTAAATGTATTTATTCTTGACAATATGCTTAATTTTTAAACTTGGCAACCACAGATACAGGATAAATAAATATATTACTATAAATAATCTATATTACTCAACATCTTGTGTTTGAATCTCCTTTATGGTACTTAATAAAATGATAGCCCTTCAATAGGCCAGAGAACTCAGTGCATTTCAGCCTACTGATACATAGACCCTAGCTAGAATTCTGAATTTGTATTAATGTTTTGAAATATTCTTTACTAAACACACACACACATATGGTGTACACAGTGGGGACAGAGAAGCACTGAGGTCTGACTGATGATGAGTTGTTGTTAAGTAACTGTCCAGGCTGTTTTCACGTGAGGTCATCAGAAGTTCCCCTCAATAGAGTTCTCGGCTCCATTCCTCACACAGGCTCCCGGCAACTCAAGCATTCCCTGGAGTTTCAAAATTCTATTAGCATATATCAATTGTACAGAATACTGCACCTCATTAAGACATATTCACGCATATATAATGGATTTGAACCTATTCCCCTACCTCTTTTTCCCCTCTTATTCCTCTCCCTGGTCCAGTTCTTCATATATACTCTGCTTGTACCTTCGCGTCTTTTTCTCTTAAGTCTAGGTTCTGCATATTTAAAACATGCAAAATTTTCTTTCAGGATCTGGCTTGTGTTGCTTAACATGACCTCAGCCACATATATCCATTTTCCTGAAAATGATATTTGTTCTTGTTTATGGTTGAGTAATACTCCATGTGAGTGCATACATGTGGATAAACATGTGTGTGTGTGTGTGTGTGTCTGTGCTTACACCCTTAGCAAATTCTGCTGAGCGAAGTGGTCTTTCTCTCCTGCTCCTCTCTCCAAATTCTCTATATTTCTGATGAAGTTTTATCTGTCCAATATTGAACCTTCAGTGTCATTCCACTGGGGGAGTTCTCTCTTGCTGCTCTGTCTCTACCCCAGAGGTGCAGCAATAAGTTAGCACCACCAGTGTGCCATCTTCCCTTTTCATTCACTGGAATTTCTTATGGAAGAATTTTTGCTGTGGAAATTTCTGGATGTTTCAATTTTATCATGAATAATGAATGAATTATTTTCACTCATTTTTCCTTTTGCAAGATCAGTCTTCTAGCAATTTGCTCACATCTACTAAATTTCCAAAACCTGACATAATTAACTGTG